GGTGTCTTCGCGGTCTAAGCCCGCGGGGAGGCTGGAATGACGCAATAGTAAGCCGAGGTTTCTATTGGCATCATTCAGCCGAACACGCGCGCGGGGCCATAGTTGTAAGAAAATGGACAGCCGTACGGTTGGCTGTAGATCGTTCCGCCTTCAACATTGGAGAGGAAGCAACGCGGAGGAGGTTATCCCAAGACTATTACGGCGCAATCACGATGGCGCCGATTGCTTGTTAAGTAATGGCTATTAGCGGCGGACGGTCTCAACTTTTCGACGACAGGGGAGAGCCCTCCCGCTTCACACTGGGGCACTGGGCACTGTGAAGACTTCGCGACATGACTTAGAATCACTGTTATTAGCAGCATGCCAACGTTCGAGTCATTCAGCAGTCTAGCTCGTGATCGTCTCGCATTCTGGACGCCCCCGTTTGCGCGTACTGTAAACGGGAGGGTCTCAGGTAGTAGCTATGTCATGTCCGTGAGGCTGATGTGCCGGACGGAAATAAAGGAAAAGCGCCTAAAGTGCAACCTCGGCGAACTGACGCATGTGCGTACCACTAATTGATGGGCTGGTTTGTATGCCTTACTCGTGGTATCCCGCTAGTAGCTCGCGGAGTATGAGTCTGGCACGGGCTAGCTACAGTAGTAATAGCATGCGGAGTCGATACATGCCCTTCGTTGTGACTTGTGTGCCTTCAAGACACACAGAGCGAACGGACGCGGTCGAGGTAATCCTGTGCTAATTTACATATTGGCTTGTTCACTTGGTTTTCACGCCATAACTTTAAAACACAGTAGTTTTACGAAATCGCCTTTTTTAAAAATCAACCCAGTGTAGCACTGAACCCGATCATATCGTTATTTACCTGATTTCGTGCGCGCGGTGGCAGAAAACGTGGTAACAGACAGACAGACAGACAGACAGACAGACAGACTGACAGACTGACTGACAGACAGACACACTTACGGGACAACTACCGTAACCCTCGCTGCGCATGCGCGCCGAGGGTAATCACGAGTCCCCCGTTCTCTCTCTCGATTTCTTGTTTGTCCTTTCGACCGAGGGGTCCGATCACGGACCGTTATGACGTACGAGATTTCTAAAAGCCTGTGATTTCCAACTGATTTCTACTGATTCAACTGATTTCAAGAGATTTCCAGATTTCCGCGTGATTTATACTGATTTCCAACGGTTAACTGCTTACCGGGGCTGTCGGGTACACACGAGCAAGCCACCCTTCCAGGGGGGTGTAGTACTTGGCGGTCGTGCCTGGGAAACAGACGCTCGGAGCTTGCTGCTCACGATTTGGCAAACCCACGCGGTCGATATGAGAGGCGCGTGCCCTCACTTGCCTCAATACCCCATACCCCACTCACACACAACACCACGCATGCGCGCCCCTCTGCAGTTAACTGGGTCTAAAGGGGGTTTAAACCCTATATTTCCAGTGATTTCTAGATTTTTCTCGAGGGTGTGGCCGGCCGGCCGGAACGAGTGACTCGCGTGTGCGCGCGCCGCAGCAGGGTCGGCCTTGTAGTTTCTACATGCAGTCAACGGAGCTATCGGAGCAGAAAAGCGGCGCGCGCACGGCAACTTGATTTCCGATTTCCACTTTTCACTGATTTCCCTTGTTTTCCAACTGGATTCCTGACCATAAGCATACGAGATTTCCCCCCGTGTCGTACCCCTCGCTTTCGACCGTATGGAACACCACTGCGCAATTAGCAGTGGTTGGTCTAGCCGCCTACCCCTTCACTCAGCCTGGGTGGATGGGAGCATCTAACTCCTATGTTTGTGTGTTTGTTTGTGTATGTGTGTATTTCATGTGCATTGCGTATGGTTTTCTTTTTTTTTGGTTTTGGTTTTGTTGGACACACGTCAGATTGCTTAACGCGATGTTGAGCCAGCGATCTTTCCCCCCGTATAATTGGCGAGCGGGAGCGAGCCAACCTAGTCGTTCGTTGGAGCGGAATTTTCGGTATTATTTATCGTTCGTACGTCGTGTAAGTGCGCATGCGCGCCTTTGTACGCGCTTCTTTTTATCCGAAACTATTTCCAAATTTTTACACATTTTCACACACGGTGCCTCGCGATATATGGGCCGATCGGTCTAGCCAGCGAGAGAACTCTCCTCCATTCGACGGCATGCACTGGAACCTTCGGTGACTGACCGAGGCTGTACCTCTTCCCAATCTTCATGGTTCCAAGGTGCAACTTGCAAATACGCTAGGATTGCTCGTGCACATACTGCTGCATGCCAGCTGCCTGGTGGACCACGACTAACGAGCTGAAAGCGTTACGGTAAGTACCGTTCTGCTCACCTGCTCATCCAATGTACAATACGCATGTAACGGCGACAGGTAGATTTGTCTTGCTTCACGAATGGAAAACTGTGCGCTGACGGCACGTTATGCAGCCCGAACATCGCGGGCAAATCCCAAGTTGGGTCGCTCCCGCTCGCCAACAATGTTCAACATTTCCACTAGTTATAGCTATGAAAAGCCGCGCTGAATGTATATAGTCCGGTGCCCAGACCTTCCAAAATATATGCGCACGCGTAAACGCTCCCTCTCTCGCGCATGCGCGCGTGCGCATAATTATAGGACTGGGCACCAGACTACGCTGAATGAAGAGCGGTGGAACCCCACCCGTTACTGCGAAGAGTAAGCTTCGCGGCACTCAGCGTAAGCGTGATCTCCCCAATACGTAACGCGCATTACAACGGAGGTTAATTAGCTAGCACACGATTCAATGGAAACCTCGTTCTTTGCCAGATGTTTAGTTGGTGCTCTGTTGCTTACTTTATCTTGTGTGGCTCAAGGTGTATATTCTAATAATCTGATCAAAATTTATTGTCTTTTTCTTTCCAGAGATTCTCCATGCTCCCGAGAGTACAACTGTCTTTCTAAACCAATCAGCAGTTTTTACATGTGAGACAAGAGGTGGTATAACTTCGTGGAGTGTCAATGGAACACAACGAGAAATCCTTTTACCTGACATACGTAGTGACCTGGTTGTTTCAGAAAGTACCACTCCTGAAGGTACTGCAGTGCACACTCTGACCATTTCAGCCAGAGCCCAGTACAATGGAACTAGAGTTCAGTGTCTGTCAGGGATATTTGGTGGCCCCTTAGTGGAGAGTGACAATGCCACATTGACCATTCAAGGTATTGGTTATTAAAATATATAAGTTAGGAAACTGCTTACCATGATATCCAGGTCCACTGTCAGCAGTAGCTGGTCTGAGAGTCACCAGCAATGCCAGCTCAGTGACCATCTCGTGGAGTGCTCCATTCTCTCTGGATGTGACTGGTGTTGATCCTGATATCTGGTACTCTGTCCTCATCTACAATGTGTCAGATGAGAACAACCCAACAGCCATCCTCTGTACTGACTGTATAAATATCACTGAGACACACTACACCTTCACTCCTGACTACCTCAGTCCTTGTCATGTGTACAACTTCTCTGCCATCCCTCTGAATGGAGCTGGCCAGGGAGAGAGCAGTGCCAATGTCACAAGTGGTCAGTTTGAATAGCAAGTATGCATGATGGAGCATAGCTACAATTTTGCAGGAAAGTCCTTTCTAACCAGGACGGATATACAAGCTGCTTGTGATGTTGCTGTTAAATTTCATGCTTGTGTAAGTTCCTGTCAAAAGAAGGACAGATACAGCTTAATGAACATGTATTTCATGTTGATATAGGTAAGCATTTTTTTTCTTCAAGGGGTATCTAAAGTGGATATAAAGGATCAACTGAGAAGTCAAGAAATTGTCATGTACACGCTATCTGCAAACAAGCTTTATTCTATTTTCTTTGAAGTGAACACTACTGCTGGGATCATGAATGTATCTCATGACACCTTCAGTAAGATAAGACACATTATCAGTGCCACTAATACTGCTCCTATTAAACAGCAACCTATGATGTCCAGAGTCTGTCAGTGGAAGAGGAAGGAGGAGGAGGAGTGTTAGTGAGAGGGGAGTTCACGAGTGGGTCACGAGCTACAGGATGTCTGGTAGTCCTCCAGGGACCTCCCACCTCTCCTGACATCTTCAGAGCTCTCATGAGGACCGAGTCTCAGGACACTGTCTCCACCAATGTACCTGTCCCTCCCTCCACTTACACTGTGTATGGATATGACCTCGAGGAGAATGGACTACCCAACACCATGCCTGCTGTGGTGCTAGAGAGTCAGCTAACTACCAGCAAAGGTCTTTTACAATACTGCGTGTCCAAATAATTTACCAATGCGTTCCTGATTTTCAAAGGTGCTACATTGGTTAAAAGATCTCAACTATTGAAGGATGCCACTATAACATTTCAATTTGGATCAACTGTAGCTATAGACTGTGAATTCTCAGAGGTCTATCCTGAGGCCTCATGTGTCCTGGTCTACAGAGAGTATGGCAATCCTCTCCTGTCAGTGGTGGAGTTGTCTCAACTCTTTGATTTCCCTGTCTCTATTACTGTGGACAACCCTGAGAATTATACCTTTGCACTGTTTGGGAAGAATGGTGCAACCAGTTTGGATGAAGAGCCACTGGTGTATACTAAATTCAGTGACTCTGGTAAGAATCACTAGAACCTCTTTCACACAACAGTGAAAGTCATGCAAACTGTTTACATACTCAAAGACCAATTGTGAAAACTATAGTGTCACATTTCATTGAGCTACAGATAAAACGGACAGAGGGAAAGAAGAAGGAAATCACAATTCCCAAGGACCTGTTGTTGCCATATCCATTGGTGGGTGTTTACAGTGTCAAAGCTAAATCCACAATGGTTTATCCTCCTCCAGGCACAGTAGTGGTGTGTCTTCTAGTATGTGGCTCAGCAGTGTTGGTCCCGGTGATGGTCAGATGGTATTATAACCGCAGCAAGTCCACACATGCATCTGATGCGGGTAAATAGGATTATCATCAAGCAAGGATCTAGATTTATTGACATACCAAATATTTTCCAGCACACTTCTAGACAGTTGTGTTTATGTATTATTGTGTCTTCTCTTGCAGCAGGTCTCCAGACCAGAAATGTGGTGTATGATGAGGTAGTTCTTCCTCCAACCACCACCCCATCCTCTGTCATTCCAACTGAACCCAACACAGCCTATGTCACCACTACAATACCAACTGACCAGAATGTGGCTTATGCTGTGCATTCATCTTCATAATGTGTGTTATTTCCATGTGTGTTTTGGTATCCCTAGCATCATTAGATTTATATATGTATTGAGAAGGGAATTTATATATAGCCCTGAGTAAGCAGTTACACAAGTAATAGTTAATGTATATACTGAAGTCAGTGCTGTGCGCGTAATAATGGTACGAGGGGCGTGGTCGAGATAGTCATACAGCACGAGGCGCAGCCGAGTTGCTGTATGATCTATCGAGACCACGTTCCGAGTACCATTATCACGCGCACAGCACGTGCTTCCGTACATTAAGTAATTTATTGTATGCATGCGTGGGCGATTCAAAAGGCGGCGACCAGGAAAACCAGGCGTTCAGAACGGAAGAGAGGACGAGAAGCTCGCGGAGCGGCCCTCCAGCAGCGGTTTGTGTCACCGTCCGAGTCGAACTCCGTCTACGAAAGGCCGCCCGAGGGCGTCATTCCCGCAAAGCGTACGCTAGTCCGCGGATATAGTTCAAAAGGCGGCGGCCAGGAAAATCTTTTTTTTTGCAAGTTCAGAAGGACTCGAAGCTCGCCGAGCGCCCTTCCAGCAGCTGTTTGTGTCGTCACCGTCTGAGTCGACCTCCGTCTACGAAAGGCCGCCGAGGCGTCATTCCCGCAAAGCGTACGCTAGTCCGCGGATATAGTACAGTTCGTGTGATATAGTACAGTTCATTCAAAAACCGTTCTGTATGATGAATAATATAGTACTGGCGGCGCCTTTGATTCGCCCACGCAAAATACAATAAATATTATTATTAATGAACCGTGTCATGTAGTATGCATTATTGCTGACACTGTGCACATAACTACATACACTGGATTATGCGCTCTGTTATATAGAGGGCCCACAAGTATAACACTTCCACACAGGTATACGTATGTTGAGGTCTGCATTTGCAGACATCAACATACATATTAGTGTATGCTGTACTGTTTCTATATGTCAACACTCAGCTTTACTACAACACCACCCCCTCCACTGCTGGCAATGTGTCCTCTAATGACACTACGTTATGTACTACGTGCGAGGGACATATCAATGAACCCGAGGGCCTCCGCGTTTGTAGTGTCCCGAGCGCAGCGAGGGCACTACGCGGAGGGCACGAGGGTTCATTGAAATCCGGTATGTCCCGAGTATACGGAGTGCATAACATGTTTAGTGCAGAGCCCGCTACGAACAGCGAGAACGAAGTGCATGTGCAAGAACTAGACAAACTCTTTCTCGAGGGGTATAAGAGCTATCGGAACCACGCGGTGAACTGCAAGCAGCTATTACCAGCAACCCTCCGCGACTCCAGCCGGCACTCGTCCTTCCAACGCGTGATGCCGCTGGAACAGAAGAGCAGCTGATAATGGAGCGTACAGGTCATCGTAGTATTGAGGGAGTTCGGTCGTACAAACGCACACCAGAGCAGCAGGAACAGTCTGTGTCGGACACCCTTAGCCTCTCCAAAAGGGCAAAAACAGCACCTCCTACTACCTCCAGTGAACCTACACCTGCATTAACTGCAATAACCAACCACCATCCTCACATCACCCAAGCCACTTCTAACACCATGGTTATGTCTGCTTCTATGCCAGCATCATTTAGCTTCAACTCATGCCAAACCATTGTAATCAACTTCAACAAATAAGCCTTGTTATGATTTATGTACACTATCCACCCACATCCACCTAGTGTAAAATCATTTTTAGCTATCACTCATCATCAGGAGCCGTCTTCTACTGTAATACATGTTCAACATGAAAATTAACAAGTGGTTGTTGAAAATGTACTTGAAAACAAGGTTTCATGTAAAAAAACAAGGTTTCATATCATGTTTTCATGTTACTTTTGTCAGCTCACGAGGTTCATATGAGAAATCAGGAACCTCGCACTAACAAATCTGATTGGTCAATTCGAATCAGCTATGCACTAATAATATCCAGGAACAACTTTCTAGCCTCCCCCAAAGGAGCACTTACTAGAGCAAAGCACTGAAGTGCAAACCCTCCGCGAACTACGCATGCGCGGTGCCGCTAAATAGGACGGCGACACGGGCTAGCTACGGTATTAGCGGGAGTCGATACACGCGCCTTCGCGGTGGCTTCTTGTGCCTACAAGGTAAATACACGACTTCTCGCTAGTCGCACTTCCCTTTCTTCCGCTGTTCCGTGGTCAGGCGTTGCCTTGCCCGTTCCGTATCACGCAGTCGCCGTCAAGAAAGACGAGCCTCTCTTTGCTCAGAAGTCTCACTGGCACGACGTTCTCTTTCCCTTTCTCGTCGACGACGTAGGGCATCTTCTCTAGACCAATCAATCGCAGAATCGATGATGCTGAGCTTGCTAGCTAGCTACAGCTATAGGGCAGCGAGGCCGCTCGTTCGTGCGTTTCGCTTGCCATACGTGCGCGCGCTCTACTGACTGCGCGCGAAGCCAGACTTCCTAAAACTGCGCGCACGGCGGAAGCTAGACTTCATACGAATGACGGAAGTTACACTTCCTTTTTGTGACTAATTGACATTCTTACTAGTGGAAATGTTGACCGTGTGCGCGCGCGCATAGCTAGAGCAGCATGCAGCGCGCATAAAGCCACGATCACGTGTCCATAAATTGGCCTAACAATACATGACCTTTGCACTTGTACGTTATGTAGAGTATATTATGTGACAGGCTCTGAGAAAACGACCCTTATGGCGCAAAAACCGCAAAATACGTTTGTATGCTAGACCGAAGGTCTTATAAATGATCTATAGTTTTCCGTTTGTTTCAGGGGCGTAGCCCGTTCCGTTGCGAAGTTATGAGCACAAGCGCAAGTGCCATTCCGCTGCATCTAACGTGAAAATCGCGCCTGAAGGTGAATACTTCCGGTGTTCAAATTTCAACCTCTATTCTCGTAACAAGTCCGTGTTACAACATTGCGCGCACGCGCGCATCCGGCCGCATTCATTGAACGCCGTTAGGTTGTGAGCCAAGATGATAGAAAAAACCTTACATGGTGACATGAAGATAGAATGTTTGGTGAAGAACCATTGTGTGAAGAATGAGACGAGAGAGGTCATGAGGTGATGTTACCTCACACCAAGGAGAGAGAGTTTGGGATAACAAATCAATAATTAAATATCATAATTGTTGCCCTAATTATACAAGAGACAAGTGAAAGATATTAGAGAGGTGAGGTGTTCTGTTTTGAAGAACTGTGGTGTGCAATAATCAAAACATGGAGGGAGAGCATAAGGAGAGAGGGAGGAAGAGGGAGGGAGAGCTCAGAATGAGGTGTGGGTCTTGATGAAGAAGAGGAAGAGGAGGGAGGAGAGTCAGAAGGGGTGTGGGTCTTGATGAGGAGAGTAGGAGGGAAGTTCAAACAGTGTGGGTCTTGAAGAGCAGCAGAGGAAGGTGGAGGGAAGTGAGTCAGAATGAGTCTTGAATAAGGAGATGAGGAAGGAGAATGGAGAGTTCAGAATGAGGTGTGGGTCTTGATGAAGGAGAGGGAGAGAGAGTTAAAACATGTAGGTATACTCTCCAGGTCCACCACTGAAGGAGAATGTGTGGTTCCGCCCACCATGACCTCCAGCGAAACTGAATCCTCCCATTCCTCCTCCAAACATGGTACTGAAGAGGGTGGTGGGGTCTATGTCCATACCCATACCCTGAGCAGAGAGAGAGGAGGGGGATCAGAATGGCCCAATGCACAGCAGCCACATTCTACAGTGGAACCTCCAATTAGGGACCCTCTCAGATAGGGACGACCTCTCTACAAGAACAGTCATTTCACTACTATTACTGTAGTGTATTATTTGACTTGACTAAATCATTGGCCCCCATAGTGTGTCTTGTTCGGAGGATCCACTGTTGTAACACTGGACATACAACACACACCCAGACCGAGCCCATCACACAGACCACTTTCCAGCATGCACATACGGAAAGTGGTCTGTGGACCAGATACAAGGGAACAGGAGACACACCAGACACCCCACCAGCAAAATAAGAGAGATGGAAAACTTTGCAGCGCCTTATTGTCACATCCCATTATGCATGAGTCTATAATTATGTAGGCCTGGCTGTGGATCCACATGAGTACAGGATGTGTTGGAGTGTGTTGTGTTGTTGGAGTGTGTTGTCAGAGTGAGTGTTGGAGTGTGTTGTCATAGTGAGTGTTGGAGTGTGTTGTCAGAGTGAGTGTTGGAGTGGAGTGTTGGAGTGGAGTGTTGGAGTGTGTTGTCAGAGTGAGTGTTGGAGTGTGTTGGAGTGTGTTGTCAGAGTGAGTGTTGGAGTGGAGTGTTGGAGTGTCTTGTCAGAGTGAGTGTTGGAGTGGAGTGTTGGAGTGTGTTGTCAGAGTGAGTGTTGGAGTGGAGTGTTGCAGATATCAATTTACGTGTTCCTCCAGGTCTTGTCCAGAGTCGTAGCGGTGTTTTCTTTGAGAGTCGGAGAGGACCTGATATGCCTCACTCACCTCCTTGAAAATGACCTCCTCCTTCTCCCTCTCCTCTGGTGTGGCTGTCGCATGGCGGTCTGGGGCGAGAGAGAGAGGAGAGAGAGAGGAGGGAGATGAGGAGGGAAGGAGGGAAGGAAGGAGGGAGGAGGAGGGAGAGGAGGAGGAGGAGGAGGGAGGAGGAGGAGGGAGGGAGGGAAGAAGGAGGGAGAGAGGGAGGAGTAGGAGGGAGGGCAGTAGGAGGGAGGGTGAGGAGTATGTAGGGAGGGAGCGCAGGGCAGCGTAGGGAGGCGGAGGCGGATGGGTAAGGCTGGCGTAAGGCTGACTCATTGGGGCAGAAATTTGCGCAAAGGTATTGGAAATTAATTGGAAAATGTTTTGAATGTGGAACACTACAAATGGTGGCGATGTGTTGTGCAGTAAGCATGAGGTCCCTTGTTCGATCCCAGCTGCCACCGCATTTGGGCTTTATCTTCGTATATGTAAATGACACATGCAGTGTTCTCCCCAGGATAATTTTAAGGCTTATGGGGAGCAAGCAATGTTTAAGTGCTCAGGGCAACGGGAGAGTGATGAAGAGTGCGAAGCGCGCCTCCTAGGGGGGTCTGGGGGCATGCTCCCTGTGAAATTTAGGACATTCTGAGAGTGTTTCTGGTGCAATCTGGCAAATAATATGGCCTCTTGCCAGGCCTACATAGTCAAGTACATACAAGCTTGATTGGGTATCTCCAGGTAGCTAAACTTCAAGTGTAAATGGGTCGAGGTGGCACCGCTGGCTATATCTTTAACACTGTCCCCGCCGCGCTGATCCAACGAGAGACCGTTGCCGCTGCCGCGTGCCACGCCCTTCAATATCAACTATGACCATCCAAGGAAAATCACTAGCCCATCTAGGATCAATACCTGTTTTCCTATGTTTACTACGCACGGAGCTCTCACAAGTAGCGCCACCTGCAGGCCGCTTCACCATACCGCTGGTCTTCTCCGCTTTGAGCCAAAAACACGTGAACTGGGTGTGGCTAAGGATTTACGCGCATGCGCACACGTAACCTGCCGCGTGAACGCTTAGCGGCCCATATCCCTTTCGTGGATAACGCATAGCGGAGCGCTAAGCCAAAACGGCCTGGGGAGAACACTGAGTTATGTCCTTAGCCCCAAGGAACCATTGACACGCAGTGGTTAACCTGTATTATGTAACGATGATGTAATGTGATACTGACCTGGGTGATGAGCCATGGCTTTCTTCCTGTAGGCCTTCTTGATCTCATCAGGAGTTGCATTTCTACTGACGCCCAGCATCTTGTAGTAGTCCTTTCTCTGGCTCAGCTTCAGCTGCTCGTTTACCATCCTGTAGGAGATGGCACGGGGGAAGGAGAGAAGATGAAACAGAGAGAGAGATATGGACTGTAACAAGAGCTCTCTCAGGTGTTTTATGGGATAGAGGATATGCCCCTGTATCTAGGTACTATTTGCTCATTATTTGCTGTGCTATTAACCCTTGGGAATACGTGACAAAACAAACACGCACTACAATTGAACTGTCTTTCTAGTAATACTATGTGACCGTGTATGCAGAAACCAGGCATATGGGTTGACTACACTGTGTGTATAAATGTGCCTGCACTGTCAGAATGGGGCACTTGGTAATTTCACCTGAGAGGGAGCCACTGTCATCTTAGGCATGCAACATTTTCCAAGGGTTCTGCTTAGTCTATACAACAAATGCCAGTTTTCTAAGTGAACATTGTGTTGAACATGGTGACTACAGCCCTGCATGTGTCCCCTGAGAGTCTGACTCACCTGAAGACCAGCCCTGTTCTCCCGAGAAGGCTCCATTCTCTGGACCTTCTCCAGGTCTCTCACTGCCTCCTCATGCTGACCTGCCTCCTGGTAGCTGTGGGGGGAGAGATCACATGACTGTCACGTGACACACCACTCTATTTAGTCCTTGCTACCAGACCCCCATCTACTGGTCATGTGTAAACGAGGTCTGGTAACTATTAACTTGATCCTACAGACCTTTAAATCAAGATCTTCAAGAATGGCCAATCAACGCCACGTGCATCCGTAGTCCGCGGACTTTGGTAGGCGGGGCCTCGTATGCATCACTGTACTAGAAGAGTGGTTCGGACACTATGGATATGACGTCTTTAGAACCAAGCTTTGTAGCAAAGGCTGCTAGATGCTCCTTTCCCCTTGTGGGTGGAGTGGCTGGGTACGAGACTATGTACTACTGCCTGTTGGGTGTATGTATGTACATCATAATGGTCTGTAGGATATGGGGCATCAATGTATACGTATGGTGGATGAGTGATGTGTATGAACAGTAATGGCTCACTAACAGTTTAGCTCTCCTCTGGAAGGCCTTGACATAGTTAGGGTCTAGTTCCACTGCTTTGGTACAGTCTTCTATTGACTCTTCCAGTTTACCAATCTGTGGAGATTACACCCAGAGGGAGGAGTTGTTTAATAGCAGGTTGCAACCAATAGCAACTTCTGTGGAGATTACACCCAGAGGGAAGAGTTGTTTAATAGCAGGTTGCAACCAATAGCAACTTCTGTGGAGATTACACCCAGAGGGAAGAGTTGTTTAATAGCAGGTTACAACCAATAGCAACTTCTGTGGAGATTACACCCAGAGGGAGGAGTTGTTTAATAGCAGGTTGCAACCAATAGCACCTTCTGTGGAGATTACACCCAGAGGAGGAGTTGTTTTAATAGCAGGTTACAACCAATAGCAACTTCTGTGGAGATTACACCCAGAGGGAGGAGTTGTTTAATAGCAGGTTGCAACCAATAGCAACTTCTGTGGAGATTACACCCAGAGGGAGGAGTTGTTTAATAGCAGGTTACAACCAATAGCAACTTCTGTGGAGATTACACCCAGAGGGAGGAGTTGTTTAATAGCAGGTTACAACCAATAGCAACTGAATGCTACATAGTGAAAGACTGATCGACACAGACAAAACAGTAACAATAAGAAAAATGGGCTACGAAAGGCATATCATCCAGAATTAGAGGAGTGTAACAGTGTAATAGCAGAGAATGAGCGACGAGATAGAGCACAGTTTAAAGGAATTAGACTGTAACGTGAGAGAGAGGACGGAGGGAGAAGGGAGGGAGAAGGAGAGAAGGAGTGGGAGAATGAAGAAGGGATGTGTGAGAGAGAGATAAATATACAGTGGACAGAAAGAAGTGGAAGGAAGATATGACATGTTCCCTCTCTCTCTCGGTGCAGAAGCTCTATGATTCACCTTTGACCCCACGAGGGCCCGGTTGCAGTGTAGTTTGGCGTTGGTGAGGGTGTTGAGGGGGTCGACAGTGAGGGCCTCGGAGTACAGGTGGTGAGCCTCCTCCATGCGACCCTGACGGAACGCCATGTTCCCCTCCTCCTTCATGGCCAGGAGCTTCTTTGATTTCTGCAGTGGCAGGAGGCACATACGTAATACAAGTGGAAAAATCATTTCTTCAAAATGAAGGGGGAGATATAGAGATGGCTTGAAGCACCAAAAAAGGAAGAAACAAGGGGTCATTACACAGCAAAGATGCACAAGCTACATACATGACATCATCCCTATATCTTTGTTCGATATTAAACACTGCCTATACACAATAAAACAATACAGTGTAGTTAAACCTCCGAATAAAGGACACCTCTCTACATGACATTGAAATTTCATTTGTGTTCGTCCACCAGTAACCCCATTCTAGTAGTTGCACTAAGGTATAATGGGACATTTGTTGGCAAGCATGCCACAAGCTATACATCACAGCTAAGAGCATAATATTGGTCATAAGAGTTAAACCAAACGTGATGAACAAGGCAAAAACACATTAGCCTCAGGACTAAGGCACCATTAGCTACACAGAAAACTGTATGGGACATTGAAAGGCCTGGGATCCACGGCATGCACAACAACACAATGCACGATGGGGTTCAAAACAAACCAAACAACACACAATGCACGATGGGGACAAAACAGCTCACTCGTGACTATACTGTGGAGTGATGGATGAATGTGTACACTACAGTTATTCTGTGTCGTGGAATTACAAAAAGTAATCCACGAGTTAGAGAAGATTTACAGAAAACGCTACAAAATTCAACAGTCACTCGAAAGTGCGGCAGCAGAGCCGACGTAGTGTAACCACCACAGTCGAGGAATTTCCATTAAATCCACAGAAGAGCAGTCTGTCAAAAACGCCAAAAAAAATTCGACAATCACTCGAAAGTGCCGCAGTAGAGCAGATGTACAGTGTAACCACAGTATTTTGTAATAGGTCGAGGAATTTCCATTAAATCCACAGAACAGTCCATCAAAAACGCTAAAAAATGCGACAATTACTCGAAAATTTTGATCACAGAGCACCCTACAGTGGAACCTCCGAACAAGGGACACTATGGGGCCAAAGATTTTGTCCCTTGTAGAGAGGTTGTCCCTATTTCGGAGGTCAAATAATACACTAGAGTATTAGCATGGGGTTGTAACAAGTGTCCTTTGTAGAGAGGTCATCCCTATCTCGGATGTCAAATAACACACTAAGTAAAGCATGGGGTTGAAACAAGTGTCCCTTGTAGAGAGGCTGTCCCTATCTCGGAGGTCAAAAAATACACTAAAGTATTAGCATGGGGTTGAAACAAGTGTCCTTTGTAGAGAGGTCTGTCCCTATCTCGGAGGTCAAATAATACACTAAAGTATTAGCATGGGGTTGAAACAAGTGTCCTTTGTAGAGAGGTTGTCCCTATCTCGGAGGTCAAATAACACACTAAAGTATTAGCATGGGGTTGAAACAAGTGTCCTTTGTAGAGAGGTTGTCCCTATCTCGGAGGTCAAATAACACACTAGAGTATTAGCATGGGGTAGAAACAAGTGTTCTTTGTAAAGAGGTCGTCCCTACATCTCGGAGGTCAAATAATACACTAAGTATTAGCGTGGGGTAGAAACAAGTGTCACTTGTAGAGAGGTCGTCCCTATCTCGGAGGTCAAATAACACACTAAGTATTAGCGTGGGGTTGAAACAAGTGTCACTTGTAGAGAGGTCGTCCCTATCTCAGAGGGTCCCTTATCAGAGGTTCCACTGTATTCCCTGTATGTACCTTCATGGCAAGGCGGGACTTGTGGTGGTCAGGGTCGGCTCTAAGAGCTCTCTGGAAGAAGGAGTTGGCCTTGTCCTGCATGTCCTGGTAGTAGTAGCTGATGGCCTTGGCATACAGGGCATCTGGGTTGTTGTTATCTCTCCTCAGAATATCACTGAGGGAGGGAGAGGGAGGGAGGAGGTGGGGGAGAGGGTAATGTTATGCACAGTGTGCTAACAACCCTTTCTCTGAGTGCCAGTGTACATCGTATACAGGAAACAAACTCCAGAGAAACCTCATTCAGCCTTTGTAGATGTGTGGCATCTCATTTCTCCCTCTCCTATTACCGCTCCCCCCCTCTCCACCCCATTCTCCCTCTCTCACAACTGTCACTTTCTCCCCCTTACTCCTCACAACCCCCCACCTCTCTCTCTCAACCCATCACTTTCTCCTACACCCCACTCCCACTCTCTAACCTCACTTCTCCCTTTACTCCTATCTCCCCACCTCCCCACCTCTCAACCATCACTTTTCTCTCGTAACTGCCATTTTCTCCCTTTACCCCTCCTCCCCCCTTCCCATCTCAGCTCACTTGCACATGGCGTGAGCGTCGTCATATCTCTGACAGAGGGCCAGAGCCTCAGCTCTCAGTGACAGGAAGATGAGGCAGCGAGGGGCAGCCTCCAGACAACGGTCCAGGTAGTAGACCGACGTTCTGAAGTCGCTCTTTACGGCGGCAGCTTTGGCCCTCTGCAGCGAGTCGTCTACTCTTTTACTGGTCTCCAGCTGGAGGTGGGGGGCAGTTGGAGTAGAGAGAGGGGAAAACAGATGGGGGTGTGGAGGGGAATGTAAAGAAAGACAGTCGCAGGGAGAAAGCAAGTTATGTTGAAAGGCAGCAGCAATGACAAAGAACATACACACAGTTGTTGTTAATTTTACCCCACATAGACAGAGTGTGCTATAGACGGGAATAAATTTCATGACCAAGGAAAGCAGAATTATATCCCCCCTACATAAGAAATTTTACCCCTCAAAACTTCCTGCCGCACAGAATGGGGAAGTGAGGATGCATAGTTCAGCAGTGATCTAAACTTCCTGTCGCACAGAATGAGGAAGTGAGGATGTCATAGTTCAGCAGTGATCTAACACACTACACCATACCACACACAATAGATGCAGTAACAACACACAAGTGCTTCAGAACTTCCCTGTTATAGTGTGAACACTAGTTAAGAGCTCTTCGAAACTACAAACAAAACCATTGCTTGTGAAGAAGGCCTGTGTCCTGAGGCTAATACAGTACCTACATAGTGTTGGTATATACACAACCGTCAAACCAGTAAGTTTACCTCAGACTTAGCCTGAGAGTTCCCCGGAGCTCTCTCTATGACCTTGTGGTAGTAGTCAATGGAGAGACTGGGGTTGCCAAGCATCAAGTGGCACTTGGCCGCTCGCAGGTAACCCTTCACGAAGTCCTCGTCCAGAGATATGCTCTTTACGGCGTCCTCCAGCGCCTTCTGGTACTGCTCCAGCATTAGCAAGGAGGCGGAGCGGTTACCGTAGAACCCGGCGTTGCCTGGGTTGTGGAAGATGGCCTTGGTGTACAACTCGCAGGCCTCCGCGTACTCGCCCTCTTTGTAGGCCTTGTTCCCGCTCAGCTTGAACACCTCCGCCGCCCTGCGAGGTCAGATAGTATACGGTCATCGCACCACCAGAGATACATGCACACCTGGCTACCTACTAGACAGTACCGTGTACTCACTCGGCGTCCAGTTCAGGCTGACTGGTGTCGCACTCCATTGGCTCCGCTGCCACTGCCATCTCTGACTAGCTACAGGTCTTCTCTCGTCCCTTTCCAAAGGTGTGCGTTGAGGTGGACTGAAGAAACTTCTAGAAGCACCACGCCTCCTCCTCATTATGTCACATCGACGTGCGCGTGCACGCACGCCCCCTTCTGCGCATGCGCAAAAACTTCATCGTCCGTTGGTAGACAGTGGCAGTTATATATGGTAGCTCAGTCAACGTCAACTCACTGGTAGGACAGAACTTGAGTCTGTGTACACACGCATTGATCCCAAGTTGCTTCTGCACGCATGGTCTACAGCAGAGACTCGCCAATCAATACCAAACATGTGATAAGTCAATCAGGAAGAATGGTGCAGTTTAGTGGTAGTCACATCACTGTAGCATTATAAAAGCACAACATTATAATGGATTGTGTCACATTTTAACACTGTCAGTGTGAAGTACAACATTCCCTTGCCCAGATCCGATATCTGGTTGAAGCGGTTTGGAGACATGGAGCTCGGATTCTTGCTTTGCTGCTTGTCTAGTATTCTCTAGGACAACTGTGGCTCCATGTTGCAGTAACTTTAGCACTACGTCCAAATATCCATTCTGAGATGCCATCATCAGTGAACTCCACCCATCCTGACATAAAACAAATCGAAGTTTGTGTGGATTAATTGTAGCACACTATATAGCAGAGTACACCAGTATGGAAATAATAGTGCAGAGAATAGAGAATATTTGGGAGATTGATGGATGTAGGAGAGAATAATTTCACCAATGAGCAAAAGTAACATGACATAAGACCAATTTTTTTTGTACCTGTGTCTGTGACACACTCGATGGTGCTGCTTCAATGTACAGTTTAATAATGCACACTTTGGCTGAGGTCACATGCAGCACCTTGTTTAGAACGCACTATAATAATCATTATGCTGTTCCAATTAGTGCGCTCGGATGGAGTGATAACAATCGAGATTACATATGCACAAGCCATGTCCTCATGCACTAGACCAAACCACATTGCACTGCAAGATTGGACTTATGGTGTTTTATTGAACACATGCCATACAGTATTTCACTCAATACTTATACATCCTTAGCCAAATTAATAATACTAATGGTAATACTTTATTTGAGAGGTCGAGATCAGCTCCAGCTTCCACCAGCTGGGACACAACTGCAATAGTACACCACTTGACAGCCATTATCAGTGCAAAGTCTCCCCACTGAGAGAGTGAGATAGATGGACAAAAAACCAGTGCTTCTTCCGTTCAGAGTTACACACACATCATACACACATACACGTGCAGCCGTGCTCACTATAATACACTGCAGCTATACCCAGCACTTTTAGCATTCACAAGCACCCCCCCTAATGCTATTGTGCTATTAAGTAGGTCCTCAAAGAGCTATATATGTTATATTAGCATGGAAATCAACAGCATAATTGCATATGGCACTCTGCCGGTGCTGAAAGTGAAAGGGTATTCATGTAATACCTGGTCCTGAAGGTCAAGTGCAGCTCCAGCCTTAACCAGTAATGAAACAATATCATTTCTACCCAATGCAGCGGCCATTATCAGTGCAGTCTGTCCCCACTGTGTGACAAGTGATGATATGATGTTATAATGATGTATGATTGGTGAACGAAACAGCCTACCTAGTCGTCTGAATGCAGGATTTTTCTATATAATTTATGTGACAGGCACTGGGCACTGCACATACTGTAATGTTCTACGTGATTCAAATACTGGGGGAAAGTTAACGTCATTTTGAATACATGCAACCTATGGAACTGCTCACACTCGCTCGCCGAATGTGCGTTGCATCCCTATAGCACTTACCATGTTCTGCAGGTCTAGCGCAGCCCCAGACTGCAGCAGTAGATGAATAGCTTCAGCCCTATCCTCCCTGACAGCCACCATCAGTGCAGAGTCTCCCCACTGTGACACACAGATGGCTGAAGTGGTTAAAGCCACACCCAAACTCACATTGTTCTGGATGTCCAATGAAGCTCCAGCTTTCACCAGTAGTGAAACAACTTCAGTCATACCTTCCCCGACAGCCATCATCAGTGCAGAGTCTCCACGCTGTGGAAATCAAGATCTAATGCATACAGGCCTTCACCAGCAGTGAAACAAAATCCAGCTTTTTCAACACTACTCACTTATATTAGTTCAGGGGGAAAATCCATTTTTCTAGGGAAGTACCCTTGCCCACCTAATGAAAAGCACTGAAGTGCAAACCCTCGATGAACTACGCATGCGTGGTACCGCTAATTGATGGGCTGAGCTACAATAGTATGTGTTTACACGTGGTCTTCTGCTAGTAGCAGTGAGTCTGACACGGGGTAGCTATAGCATGCGGGAGTCGATACACGCCCTTCGTTGTGACCTCATGTGCCTTAGAGCAAGCGGACCCAGTCGAGGTAAGCCAGTGCTAATTTGCATATTGGCTTGTTCACTTGCTTTTCATGCCATAGCTTTAGTTATACGAAAATTGCCTTTTAAAAAAAATGAAGCCAGTGTAGCAATAAACCCGTTGGTGTCGCGATTTGTATGTCACGTTGCGCGTAGTCGCAAAAAACGTGGCATACACTCACAAACCAAGTACTGTAACCCTCGCTGCGCATGCGTGCCGAGGGTTAAAAATTACTGCTGTTATTAGTCCCCCACTGCATAACGTATGCATGAATATCGTTATAGGACAATTAACATACTTTGTTTTGCAGGTCCAGCTCCGCCCCAGACTTCAGTAGTAGATGAATAGATTCAGTTCTTTCCCATCTAAGAGCCACCATCAGTGCCGAGTCTCCCCACTACATAATGGAGAATTTAATCACCAAACGAAGTTGGCCATCACAGCATGCAAATGATGTGCGTCACAGAAGTTCAGCAAATATTATAACATGCCCCCCCCCCACATTTAGAGCTACAGAATGTTGCCTTGCCACGGTCTTACCAGGTATGTTGATAGATCAGTGTTATCCAGAGTTGCATCAGTCAGGAGAATGCTCCGTCTGAAATCAGGATCCATAAATACAAAACCCACCATCCAACCAACCTCTGGTGGAACACTCAGCACCACACGTATAGAGCCTTCCTGTGGCTCCTCCACATACACCGCGTAAGACTCAACGGATGAATTTTCCACTATCAGTGCCTTCAACTGTCGGATCTCATATAGCGAGCAAGCGGAAGGTGCCTTGTTGATCTTCATCGCCATTTGGATGAAAGCTTGACTGATTTTACCCTTTGGGTGAGCGGAAATGGCATGGAGATAGACATCAACAGCAGTTGCCTTCTCAAAAGAGGTGAGGGAATCACGATAACTGCCCATTTTCTGCATGAGTTTTTTACAGAACTTCTTGACGACGTAAAAAATAATCTCATAGTTAGAGTAGTTGCAGTAACGGCCCAGAATAGCAAATAGCTTCAATACATTTTTTGCTTCAATGATGTCATCTTCATTTCGTTTAAAAAACTTAATGTGAAATGCCTTTTTAGCAACTGGAAGATCGAGAAGGTAATCTCGGAATCTTTCTAAAAAATGGCTCTCTTTATTTTCTCTCTCGGTCAACACTAGCCGTGCTTCGAATTTAAGTTCGTAAAATGTTTCTTCCAATTGCTCAATACTCTCCTTGACCACTTGCACCTGCTGTTGGTACAGGGCTAGGGTAGACACAGGGCTACCAGTAGTTGGATTGACATGATCTGCAGCAGTTGGCAACCGAGATACTGGCATAGAAGGCCCGTCCAACTCTACGGGTCCGCTGGCTGCAATTGGGGAGGTAGGACTACTAGTCTGATGTGCGTTTGATATATGAGCACGCTCAATGTCCTCAGCCAAAGAGTTCTTGTCTATTTCCTTCAACACCGCAACTATTTTTTTCCAGCTAACATCTGTCTTCATATCGAGCAACTTCTGCACAAAATGTTCCTTCCTATTTTCACCATCGTACTGACGAGAAACGTCATCAAGTACGTTCAGCGGTACACCAAGTTGAAACACTAGTTCCCTCGTCTGCTCCATAGTTAGCGGTCGGACTGCCTTACACACCGCGAGCAGTGTAGGGTTGGACTCCATTTTTTTGTTGCGTTAATTGGGCGTGGCGGCCCCGATATGCGCATGCTCACAGAATGCCGTGCGGGTCTGCATATCTATCCTCCCTCCACTGGTAGCTGCTTTTATACCTTTTCATGGATCATAATCTCCCTTTTTAACTAAAAGGTGAAATAAGGAACGTGGTAGTGGCACCATTGTCGAATTCTATTGTCACTATTGTTTCTGATGAAGAGCACAGTATTGCTATACTAGTTGGGATCATGAACGTCAGCTAACCACAAATAGCCTTTTGTATTGTAATCAAGTTTACAAAGACACATCATATAAAATCTCCTAGCAGGTGGTGTGTGAGTGAGGTATGTTTGGTTGGTACTGGGTCAGAGCAAAGTTGAAGGAGAGAGCAGCGGGAGATGGGATATAGTGCAGGTAGGCAGGTCTGACCATTGGCCGCGGCTTGGGTGGTTCGTAGTGGGTGGCCTGCAGCGCGCTGACCTGTGCACAGGTGAAAAGAAGTATATACTAAGTACAGTACTACCGTACTTAGTGATACATGTTAAGCTGCAGATTACACTGAAGGAGAGTAGACACTACTAGACAGTGTGTACAGTGGAACCTCCGAATAATGGACACGTTGGGACCAGGCATTTTGTCCTATAGAGGGAGGTTGTCCTCTCTTTGGAGGTTAATAATGTACCATAATACTACAATCGTAGAAAAGTGAACGTTTGGGACCTCAAAGTGTGTCCTTTATTGAGATGGCCTACTGTGTCCCCTATCGGAGGTTCTACTGTAGTGTAGTGTGAGGAACTTCAAATCGGACACTTTTTTCACAGCTAGCAGTGTCATCCAATAATGTTTCTGAAATGTTCTTGGTGTGAGTAGGTTGCTGTGCACACGCATACACCATGGAACTTGTTTGCAGTCTCAATGTAAAGTGATGGGGCAAGAAGAAGGAAAGTCAGAGTAAGAAGAGATGAAAAAAGGAGAAGAGGAACGAGGGCAGAGAGGGAAAGGGTTACTGTAGACTTTCTGGACGAGTGCCTTCTGTCTGGCAGCCATGACACTGGGTGTCCAGTCGTGAAGGATCCTCTGCCTGCGGAGAGCTCTGGCCAGCAGCTGACGCCTCTGGTACTGCCGCCAGGCCAACTGGATGACCAGGGCTGCCAGCTCCCTCCTCCACTCCCTGCTCCCCTTCTAGTGAAGACACCACACACACAAATGCACACACCCTAGGTGAATGTTGTAGGTCTCACACACTCACCTGCATTACTCTAGCCTGAGCCTCCAGAGCCATCATTCTCCTCTTCTGTCTAATATACCTGTACACAAGTAGTGTTACTTGTATTTCCGTATTATACTACCCATGTTCTGTAAAGGCTCTAACTCAATTTTGCTATGGTCCGGCCCTGGGTAACAAGCAGGTAATGCTACAAGAAGCTGCTCAATATGCGTCGTTTAACAACGCACCTGTACACATTACACACACTATGACAGCACAATACATCAGAGTCAGGTGGTGGTACTGGTGGATAAGACTGACCTCCTCCATGCCAGTTGTATGATGAGAGCAGCTTTGGTCTTCTGTCTATAGAGAGCCACTCTCTCTCTGTCTCTCTGTAGGACCTCCGACGGTACCACTCCATGCTGTGTTCACACACAGTACACAGTGAGAGAGAATGGAGTAAACTATGGAGGGAAGAGGGACGAGAGAGGGGGTGATCTGACCAGGTGGACTCCACTCCAGGACTTTAGCTGTCGACTTCGCTGCTCAGACTCCCTTAGCCTCTCCTCCAGCACCCTTCACACACAGGCAGATACACACATTGTAAAGCTGGGTGCACAATAATAATAATGTCGCATTGCCCTGACGTGCCATGGGGATAGAAATGGACCATTTTTTCATGTAACAACAATGAGGTAGCAAGGAAAAGGCAAAGCAAGACAAGCACAACTACACGGCCAGGACAACTCAAGGAAAGAGCTGCCCTGGTTGGGATTTGAATCCACGACGACTCTGCAGTCTAGGTGAGCACTCTACCAACTGAGCTACCAGGGCAACTCAGCTGGTAGGGGTTCACAAGACAAGGCAAACCTCAAACCACTGTATATACTATGGCACAGTATATTCTCACTCAGTATACGTATATGTCATGACACGATGCACAGCACACATTTTGTTGCAAATCTTTTTGACATTAGCGAAAGAGTGGGCAGCTCACCTTCTCCTCTCTCCACTACTCGTGTCATATCCTGCTGTGTGTACTGGTTGAGCTCCAGCCTCCTCCTCCTCCTCCTCCTTCTCTATCCCGGCTCTCTCTCCCTCCTCCCTCTCCTCTCTCTCCGTCCTCATCTGACCCAGCCTCTTCCTCACTAAATACCCTCGATACACCTGCCACAGACAAAGTTATATAATAAATACCCTAACTGCACCTTATTATTGCAGTGTTAAAAACTTTTTAGGTTCACAATGATTTGGTTAGCCTCAATCAGCAAAAAATTATGGTTATGGCGTAAAGGTCTGTCTAAAATTGAGGATCTGCAAAAAAATTTCACTTCAAGCATAAAAATTGATGCCATATACAATACTGCTACATTGTACGTGTGGTTATTATAACAAAAATGTTTTAAAATGGTGAATATAGGGATTGTATAATAAGCAAGGAGACAAGACAGGGATGACCTAGTGTATGTGATGCAGTAGTACAATGGATGATGGTTACATCTTCAAACCAACATTCCTTGCCCGTGTAAATCTTCCTCCACACAAGTCCTATATTGTCGCGCAGCATGAGAATGGTGCCTCGTATAATGTGCAGCTATTACTCATTTCATAAGCACATGAGACAGCTAATGCACAGGTGTTGCCCTCTCTGACAGCTACTGAGTTGTGACTGCATTGTGTGCAGGCTAAAAACTTCCACGTTTGCTCAACTAATTAGTTTTACAATGCTGCATTCGTCGTATAATGTGTAGCTATGAGTTTATCACTAAGCATACGATACATGCACAGGTATTGCCCTCTCTGACAGCACCTCAGTTTTGAGTTGTGGCTGCATTGAGTGCCTTCAATGTTCACTCAACTATTTACCAGTTTTACAATGCTGCATTCTTAGTCCTCTACCAAATCCCTTTTCCAGTCCTCACACTACATCGTTCACTAAACAAACTCATGATGTCACATGAGTAAGTGTGGCGACAATTCGAGGCTTGAGTGGATGACGATGCTGGGCTTGATACGCGTCCTTCAAGAACCTGTGTGGTACAGTGCATGGTACACACACACACTCTACTTATTAGCATATGCTCCTTCACTTGCGTTTTATGCCCATAACTAACTCTTGTAGTATTCAATCATATGACACATCAATGCACCATACAATGTTGCTCATCCCGTTTTATTTTGTTCAAAATGAATTAGTACAAAAGACACAAACCGAAGTGCAGGAAGGTTGTTGTGTTGTTAGGTGAAGATCAGAGTACGATGGTTCCCA